CATGATTCTCTCCAATTTTGTTAGTCCTAACAAAAATCATTATGATGTCACAAACCTGGGCGCTCTATACTACTGCGTAATCTCTATATTTAAACTTACACTTTTATGTTTGTTTGAAACCCACTGGTATAGAAAGTTAATAAACCTATATAAGCATCACTATTTTTATTTTAGCCCCCCGATTTGACGGCTGTAAGTTCAGCACTTGCTAGCTGAGTATTTCCTGGACATGAGAAATTACCAAATGACAGTTAGATCTATCAGTACGTAATGTTGATTGTTGGTGTCTCGCGCTGGCGAGTCCTTTTAAAAAAACCTTTTAATATTAAAAAAAATTAACACCTAATATGAGATAAAACAATTTTAATTAACTAAAATGCTGGAGTAATGGAATCAGAATTTTATATTTTACGTATTTAGAAGCAGAAAAGCTTTAGAACGCTAAAGTCCGGTGTTCGATTCCCCGCGTTGAACACATCAGATAGCCCAATGTGGTTTTGCTCTAAAACAAACAAACAAAGCAAATTTTTATTTTATTTATCTATCTGTGAACGTTGTTCTAAGCATAGATGCCCCCCCCCCCAAGTGGTTCAGCGGTAAGTCTGAAGACTTATAACGCTACATACTGGGTTTATATACCCGTGGTGGGCACAGCACAGATAGCCCATTGTGTAACTTTGTGTTTAACGACAAATAAACAAATAAAATGTATAACTCTTTCTATAACCCCGGTTATTAGGGCGTTCAATTCGCAATCTACAGGTCGCAGGTTTGAATCCCGTCCTCGGGCATGCTCTTCCTTTCAGGTGTGGCGGCGTCATAATGTGATGTTCAATCCCAATGTTCTTTGGTGGTGGTTGATGACGTTGACTTACCTGTAGTATATGACTTTTAAATTAGAAACGTCTAGAACAGGTACCCCTCGAGTACATTTGTTTCGGCCCGGCATGGCCAGATGGTTAAGGCACTCGACTCGCAATCTGAGGGTCGCGGGTTCGAATCCCCGTCCCACCGAACATGCTCGCCCTTTCAGCCGTGGGGGCGTTATAATGTTACGCTCAATCCCACTATTCGTTGGTAAAAGAGTAGCCCAAGAGTTGGCGATGGGTGGGGATGACTAGCTACCTTCCCCTCTAGTTTTACACTGCTAAATTAGGGATTGCTAGCGCAGATAGCCATCGTGTAGCTTTGCGCGAAATTCAAAAACAAACAAACAACATTTCTTTCTATAACCGTAATTTTTTGCACATCAGGTGACAAATTGCTATTTAAAATTGGTTATGTTGGCGTAGACAAATAATCTGGTGTAAAAACTGACCTTTCTCGTGTAAATACCTGTATTTAACTAACGTTTTACAAGTAGATTCTCCAACTATATTGCGTTTCACAAAAGTTTAACCACCTATCTGTGTTCGGATTTATTGAATAATCTCTTCCGTCGGCTATTCAGACTGGAGTTGGTTAATCAGTGTTTTAATCTAGTCTTCAAAGTCTTCATTCATTTATTATTATCAAATATTACTCACGGTCTTTCTTTCAATAGAAGCTTCGCTATAAAATCTTTAGCTTCATCTGATATTTGGTCAAACGACTCGTCATCAAAATCGTAAGCTGCTTTTGTGACATTTGCCATAGTTTCAAGGTCACTGTCCCCCATGAAAGGAGACAATCCGGATAAACTAGAAACAAAATAAAGATCAATAATAAATATGTCTTATAATGTTCTAAACATAAAGATTTCTATATAAATATGACAAACTAGAAACAAAATAAAGATCAATAATAAATATGTCTTATAATGTTCTTATATTCGATAATATGGTGTAGCATTTGCGTATTATTTATATAGAAATCTTTATGTTTAGATAGGCCTGGATTAAGGGCGTAATTGAACGTGGTCGTTAATCTTACAGATACGGAGCAGAATGGTTCAGTTAAATAGGTCATCCTATATCGAGTGAAAGAGATTGTTACTACTTACAGAACGTAACAGATAACTCCTACACTCCACATGTCTGTTCCGTAACTAATGCGCTCGAAATTCACCACTTCGGGAGCAACGAATTCGGGCGTTCCAAATAAAACTTGCATCTTCTTGTTCGGTTCATATTTTCTGGCAAACCCGAAGTCTATTAGTTTAATTCTGTTTCCAGTTTTCGATACACAAAGTACATTTTCGGGCTAGGAGAAAAAAAAAAAGTTGTAAATCAATTTCACGTACTGACAAGCACGTCGTTAGTATGTGGAAATAATATCGCGAAGAACTAAAATGAGGAACTTAAATACATATTTACAACGGATAATTTAATTCAAATAGAAACTTACATAACCTTAATTTGTGATTAAATATCAGAAAAAAAATCATAGCAATAAAATGTTGCAAGATCTCCTCCAATTACGTGTGCGTGGCCCGATGGTTAATGTGCCTAGTTATAGATCCAAAGCTCTGGGGACGTGGTGCTTTGTAAAAGGAAAGGCCAAACCCCACTATTTAATTATAGTAGCTCGCGTGTAGGCACTAAATACTGTTGGCATGTTGTCTTCCATCTTGTCATCGATTTCAAAACTATGGCCGGCTATCACAGATAACCCTTGCGTAGTTTTGCGGGAATATCCTCCCCCCCTAAAAAAAATCAAATCGACCAATCCATCCGTCCGTCTCCAATAACTTAATTTGTAATATACTAAACTTCAAATCGCTTTTCCAAATAAATATGTTAACAAGTAGTCAACAGCGTATGCGTATCATTTTCTGCACACACACACACACACCCTCGTTGGTTCAACAAACATTCTGAGAGCTTATAACGCTAAAAATCGGGTTTCAATACCAGCGGTGGGAAGACACGAATAGCCCATTGTGTAAACTTACGCTTAATACCAAACTCCCAATTCTGCACTTTTCTAAATATGAACTTTGTTTCGTATGAAATATTTTGAAATGACTGTGTGTGCTTGACATTTTAATATTTGTATGATAAGATTGTCTGTGTGTCACGTAACTCCTCCTAAACCGACGTCTGAGTGGTGCCAAACGAATTGACTCGGTTTCAAAGTTTGCATAAAATCCTTGTCGAAACGTTGTACATTTGCTGTTATGTTAAACTTATATTAAAGTTTTTCTTCATTACCCATTCAAGCCGTCTCCAGCCATTTATTAATCTCAAAGTGGGTTCCTCGTCATCGAATTTGAATACGTAGCATCAGTTACCATTGGAGCTTCCTGTGTATGAGTGGTTTTCTTCAGTTTGTGTGGTCAGCTGTTTTGTCTGAGTGTTGTAACAAACAAAAAATCAAAAAAATCTATAATCTAAATAGACGTTTCTAAATGCTATAGTACAGTAGATTTTTAAAAATGCCCATTACTGTTGAAAAAGAGAAAGTTCAGTTTTAAATAAAGTTTTGCTCACGAATATGGTTTTAATACCTTTTTAAGTTTTCAAAAAACACTAGGGTTCTCTAGGTTTATTTTGTTATCATCGTCAGGTGGATACAATTGAATGATGGAACAAAACCGTTACGTCATGTAATATCAAGAGCGATGCTGCATCGCTAGGCAACAATGTAAAAACGAATTCAAACATAACTGTTAAATGTAGTATCAAGAGCGATACT